GTAGTCGCCTGTAAAAATACTGGAAGGTGTGATTTTACGCTCTAGCGGATTCTCCTACGCTCGAGCGCATCTCAGTTTGTTCGCACGCAGTTTTTGGTCAGTCCGCTCGAGCGGGCTGTTTTGAGCTCGAGCGGACCGCGCGATCCCAGATTTCCAGATTTTGTTAAAGAGTTGGTTTTCTTCTGAAATTAGGATTGCTTTGGTTTTCTATAAATAGTTGGTTTTCTCTCAACACTAAAAAAAAACTTCTCCAGATCTTATTTTTGGATCTTAAGGTTTATATCTGGAGAGATTTTGCTAGTTTTTCTTTGATGTTTTGATTGAGTCTTCAACTCATGTTCTAAAGAGAGTACATCAAAGGTTGTGTTTTGTTCTACAAAAGAGAGTGTTGTTCTTCAGTTGTGGATTCTGAAGAATTCGTGCCTGAAGCTTTGGTGGAATCCGGAGTGGCTCATCAGAAAGACAATTCCGTGGTGAAGATGGGGTTGGAAGAGGCACATAGAGGTTGGTTCAATTAGGCGTTGTGGATTCGCTAGGTAATTGAGAGTATACCTGTGTAATTCCTTTAATTCTTCTTAGTGGATTGTTCTTGTGGCTGTTGCCCGTGGTTTTTTTATCACAGTTGGAGGTGTCCAATTGTGGTTTTTTCCACGTTAAATCGCTGTGTCTCTTTGTCTTGATTGTTTGATTGGGATTGTTATATTCTGCTTAAAATTGATACATAATCACAAATCAACATCTAGGGGATTTCTAGATTTTTCAGATAGCATATAGGCTGACAAATTATTTTATAGAAGCAAAATTTACTCTTCTATAACATGTTAAAAACAGCTACAAATAGAGGCTACAATTGTTATAGTCAAATTAGGAAAGATAAAGATTGTAGTTTAATAGACAAATAAAATAGATTTTGCATACTTTTTCTAAGATGGTAGGGTCAACAAGGCAATAATTAATGAACCTAGAAGATGGAAAAAAAAAAACAGGCAAAAAATTCCTTTTATGATCATATATATTTTTATTTCTTACCAATTAGATCAACAGGAATAGGAAATCTATCCAATGGGAGCAATCACTGTATCCAAAAAAGGCTAGGAGCATGAGAATGTAACATACTTGAGAAGAATTGTCGAGGCGTTGAGCAATAGCATCCTCGACCTTAAAGGAGTAGTAATAATATACCATTACGGATGTAAAAAGTAGTAAGATAAAGAAAAATAAAAGAAGAAAAAATGGGATATAAAGTAAAAATGATTTTTTTTTACTATATTAATAAAAGAAAGGGAAAATAATCAATAAATCCTATTTTGCTCTTAAGATTACCATGAAGTCCTATCAAGTTTCAATATAGACAACTAAATCCTATTTTTCATGGGAAAGTCTATAGTGCATTTTGTTCAAAAAAATGTATGGTACATAGAAAATCAATAGCTAAGATTGAGCCACATCATTAAAAGCGACCTGCTAAATAGGTCACCTTTTATAGTTATGAGCCAAAATCATATTTCTTCATAACTATAATCAAATTGATCATAACTTAGTCATAACCACATCTCATAACCAACACCATTTTGTTCATAACTAATATCACATATTTCATAACCACATATCATAACCAACACCATTTTGTTCATAACTAATATCACATATTTCATAACTATAATCACATATCTCATAACCAACACCACTTTGATCATAACAAATATCACATATCTCATAACTACTATCCACATGAATCATAACCACATCTCATAACTGTAGCGATCCCAGTTTCGATCCTCTTTTTATGTTTTGCCACTTCGACTGGGCCGGTTGGGGGTCGAGCTGATCGGTCAGCTCGCGGGGGTCCAGGGGGCAGCGCCTCTTAGCGGGTCCAAGGGCAGCGCCCTGGCAGGGGTCCAGGGAGCAGTGCCCCTTGGCGGGGCTGAGGGGCAATGCCCCTCAAAACAAAAATGCAAAACGCATTCGAAGTTTCTTATCCGTTCGGCCGGTTTGGAGTGTTGGGAGTTTAACCGAGAGAATTTCGAGCTGAGGACCAGGGCTGCACGTGCAGAAAACAGGGCAAGGGGTTGAAACACACTACTAAAAAGGCAGGTGCGGGGTGAGGTGCGAGGGAAGGAGGCAGCACGTGCAGGGGTGAGTGCCGCACATACGGGAGCCCGCGCCGCACGTGCGGGAACACACGCCGCACGTGCAAGAAGAGGCTCCGCACGTGCGGAAAGTTAGGTGAGATCCGAAATTTCTCAGTTTCTCCTCTCTTTGGGCTGATTGTGTATCACTCTCTCTCTCTAAAAACATTTCCTCTCCCTTCTCTCTACATTTCCTACTAAAAACCTCACAAGATCTTTGATTTCTCCAAATCCATTGGGATTTAGATCCAAGTTCTTAATCAAAGTTGGTTGTCTAGGCGAGAGCTACGTTGTGTGCGGTGGAGATCGAGTTTCATCGTCGTTGATTTTGGGATTTTCAATTCATTTCTTCTTCATACTTGATGTAGGGATTTTCTTTGAGTTTTATATATGTTTTTGCAAGATCTAGATGATTTTGAAATCATCCTTTGATTTGCTTTGAAAATGGGTAGTTGATTAAAGAAGATGAGCAATTTTTGAAAGTGGGTTTACTTTCTTATTTCCTTAAAAATAGAAATTGAAGGTTTTGAATTATGTTGATTGAAGAAAGAAGATTTTGGTGAGATTTTTCTCAAATGTTTGAAGATGGATGGTTTTGGAAGACGAAAAATTTCGTCACTTTTACATCTTATTGTGACGAAATTATTTCCTTATCAATGATCAACATGCGTGACAAATTTATTCGTCAACTAAAGTTATAAATATGGTATTGAATAACTATTTGGTGACGAAAATGAGAATTTTTGGTGACAAAATGTTATTTTATTGGTGACAAAAAAATTCGTCGCTAAAGTAATTTCATTGGTGACGAAATTATTTTTCGTCACGTTGGTTTTTAGTGACAAACATTCAATGACGAAACCGGTGACGAAAATATTTCCTCACAAATATCTATAGTGACGAAATTAGCTCTTTGAAGACACAAAAATTTCGTCATTCAAGACCCAACTTGTTGTAGTGAGAATGGAAGTTCATTCAAGAAACCACTACACCCTAACGATCAATTTGGAAATTAAATAAAAAAGAAAATTGAATGGAGACGAAAATTGAATAAAAATAGAAGCTGAATGTAAATAGAAATGGAAACTGCATAAAATTAAACATGGAAGTTCATTCAAGAAACCACCATACCCTATCGATCTGTTTGGAAATTAAATAAAAAAAAGAAATTGAATAGAAAAGGAAACTGAATAACAATGGAAGTGGAATAAAAAGAAAAATGGAAGTTGCATAAAATTAAAAATGGAAGTTCATTCTAGAAACCACTACACCTTAACGACTATTTGCAATTAAATAAAAAATGAAATTCAATAGAAAAAGAAATTTAATAAAAATGGAAGTTAAAAAAAAATAAAAATGGAAGTTGCATAAAATTAAAAATCAAAGTTCATTCAAGAAACCACTATACATTAACGATCTATTTGGAAATTAAATAAAAAAGTAACTGAATAGAAAAGAAAATTGAATAAAAATGGAAGTGGAATAAAAATACAAATGGAAGTTGCATAAAATTAAAAATGGAAGTTCATTCAAGAAACTACTAAACCTTAACGATCTATTTGGAAATTAAATAAAAAAGGAAATCGAATGGAGACGAAAATTGAATAAAAATAGAAGTTGAATAAAAATAGATATGGAAACTGCATAAAATTAAACATGGAAGTTCATTCATGAAACCACTATACCTTAACGTTCTATTTGGAAATTAAATAAAAAAGGAAATTGAATAGAAAAGGACATTGAATAAAAATGGAAGTAGAATAAAAATAAAAATGGAAGTTGCATAAAATTAAGAATGGAAGTTCATTGAAGAAAACACTACATGTAAAAACCCGCATTCATGTCTTAGTCATGCTTGCATGCATTTATATAATTCTGTCTTGCTAAGTTTGAATTCATGAATCTTGCCTTGTTTTGCTTAAGTGTGTTGCACGCTTTGTTCCTTCTTTGCTGTCCTCAAGCCTAAGTCATGTTAAGCTTAGGTTATTCCAAGCCGAGGCCACCTGAAGTCTAGAATTATCTTGGAACCACTTTGGTTGACCTCCACCTCCGTCCTGGCATGTTGGCCGAGATGTCATTATCTAGGCCGAGGTGTGTATCACCAAGGCCGAGATGTGTATCATCTGGGCCGAGATGTCATCCTTGAACCCAAGTGATCTTGTTCTTGGTGTGGTATGACCTAGACCGAGGTGTGGCACACCTAGGCCGAGGTGTGGCACAGCTGGGCCGAGTGTTGTCCTTCCTAGCCGAGATCATTGTTCCCTTACTTGCCAAAGCCTT